GCGGTTTGGGATTAGGTTTAAGTGTTCAGAGCACTAAACAAACAGCTGGAGCGGCTTTAGATAATGTGGAAGTCAACATCTGGACCTAAATCTGAGGCACAACTTGATGTCTGAGTCAAAAACATTCTCTATTTGTTCTGACTGACTTCCAGTTAGTTTCCAAAGACAACTAGACAAATCAAATCTGTATCTAAATTTAGAGAAAAAAAACAACTTTAAAAAATATATATTTAAATTCAAAACGATCTGCAGATGTGATTAAAGTAAGAAGTGATTCTAGAAACTATTAACTCAGGGGGGATAAATATAGTTAATCTAACTTGCTCTTCATTGTGTTGGTCTTTCACCTCAATCCAAATAATATACAGTAACAAATCACAATATTGTAACAGAACAGGAGAAAGATTTCAGGGGATATGACCAAATATTCAAAGCTATGTATTAAAATATGGGCTTGAACTCACAGTTCGCAATGTTTTCTAGAAAAATCTAACTGTCATTAACATCAATCTCTGTTTTGTCTCTAAAGTTTGAACAGGAAATGACTTTAAGGAAGCAAATGATTTGAAGAAGTTTGTGCTTTAGTATTAGCAGACACTTGTTCTTGTAAAAGTGCACAGACACAGGAGTGTGTGGGTGTGTACGTGTGATCCTTAATCAGTGTGCATGTCTGCATGTGTGTTTTTCTTTATGTGTGGTTTGTATTCCAGTGCCTATTGTGAGGTGGCGCAGTGTGCGCTGCGCAGCGGTCAGACGCCCCCTGAGCTCAAGTCTTTTAGCTCTCTGGCAGGCTTCCAGGCAGCCCCCCGAGATGCAGGACAGTGTTTTAGGCAAGAAGACACCCGTCCTGTCCCCTTCCCCTCTCTGCCACACCCTCCACCACACCCTTTCTGCTCTGCCCAGCTACGACTAAATGTTCTCTGTATGCCATGTAACAAAAGACGGACATCTTTGCTTTAGCAAGATGACGGCATCGCTTTTGTTTTAAGGCCAACAGCTCATACTTTTCGCATTTGCGGCACCACATTTTAGTCTGTCACTTAGTGCATGATTGTCTTCACACACTGAGCCCAAAGTCTAGATCAGACCTGGGTTACACTGTATTCTTTAACCCTCTACTGCACTAGGAAAATAGCTCTAAAGTTTTCTTTTTGTTTTATAACAACAAACTCAGCAGTTTTTTAACATATTGATGTTTCAGTTTGCTTTCCTGCAATTTAATGCTTTAATATAGCTTTTATATATATATATATATTTTTTTTTTTTTTTTTTTTTTTTCAAAACACAGAACACAGCCATCGGTATTTAGTAGCTTACACATATTACCAAGTAAGGACTGAAGATACCAGTCAGAACTTCACATCTACTCATTACGAACTTGAATCATGCCTTTAGTGATATATTTTTGGTACTTTTTTGTGCTTTAATTAAAATTTAATCCAAATTTCCTAAATTTCAAGGTTTCAGAATTATCCTACACACAAAAAAAATGCAAACAGTTAAGCCAAAAACTATTCAGCTTCCCTGCAATTTTTTTTTTAAAACATGCATTAATACAAAATAAATTAGAGTCTAGGGTTTGTTTCTACTCTTGACTAAAGTTACATGTTTTATTAAAAACCCACAATAAGATAAATGCTTTAAATCATGACTAAGAATCCAGAATTAATTTCATCTTAATCCACTTTGAGTGCATGCAAACCACTCAAACCAGAGCTGTAACTTCAAAATATTCAGCTTTTGGTTTCCAAGAAATCTTAAAATGTACTTTCTTTGGTCAGTGAAAAAAATGCATCTATAGTGATCTGTTGTTCTGTTATATAAAGCTAAAATTATTTATAGGACAAGCAAACATACAATCCAGTTTGTGCAACATATTAAAGCTGCCTCATTCATTTATTTTTTTCTAATTGATTTGTTCAATAATGTTTTTAACTGCAGCACCTTCCCAGTATTAACACAGCCGCCGAGCCACTGAACCCAAACCATCGTCATGTTTGATTCGGACCTTTTGTGTCGTCCATGTCTGGTTTACACTCCCTGCTTTTCTCTTGTCCTCACATTTCCCTGCTTATTTCTCTCATGCATGCATGTTTTCCATCTGTTTGTAAATTCTAAAAAGTAAAGTCTGTTTGTCACTTATCTTCTTCTCACTTGTTTTCTTTCTTCATCTTTCTATCTCGCCCCATCCCCCCCTCCACAGCATCACCACCAAGCTGGAGCGTGCTCTGGAGAAAGTAGCACCGCTGCTGAGGGAGATCTTCGTGGACTTCGCTCCCTTCCTGTCCAGGACGCTGCTGGGTAGCCATGGGCAGGAACTGCTCATAGAAGGTACAGGTGCTGTACACGGCTCCTTTTTCTCTAACTGGCGTCCCTCTCTGTGGAGTCTCCTCATTTACTGTCCCTCACCGCCTTGTCTGAGTGTAAGAAACACCGAGCGTTTGTGTGTGTCTGAGAAACTGAGTGAATGAGCGTCTCTGAGCTGCTTCACCCATTCGTCAGGCAAGTATGAAGTCAACACTGCACCATAAGAACTCAGATAGCTAGACAGGTGATTTTTTATTTTTTTATTTTTAGATCAGATTATATTTAGCATCTCTTAAATTGTAGGTTGTCCTAAATGTGTCCTCAATCTGCCCACCTGCTCCTTGTTTTGTACTTCACTGTCTGTGTCTTTTCTCAGTTTCCCTTCTTTCTCTCTTTTCTCCTCTTTCCTTTCCTGAATCTTTCTCCTTGTTGTCTTTTCTGTGGCATGCTTCTTGTAAATTAAACTTTTGCGACTCTAATAACAAAAAGTATTAACACTGCTATACCTTTGCTAAAGTTCGAGTGTGTCTGGAAGTTCGATTTATTATTTTTTTGGTGGATCAGGAGATGAAAGACTCCTGACTGTGGTGTTTCTGTCTGTTCTGCAGGTCTGGTGTGCATGAAGTCCAGCACATCTGTGGTGGAGCTAGTAATGCTGCTCTGTTCTCAGGTTGGTGACCATCCAACTTCGTTCTCTGTAATCTTCTTCAGCTCCACTGAGAATATTTTATTTCACCATTTCAAATTTATAAAACTTAAATCAATCCATTTTCCATCTCGCTTATCCCTGTTGGGATTGCAAGGGGTGCTGGTGCCTATCTCCAGCAGTCAATGGGCAAGAGGTGGGTTACACCCTGGACAGGTCGCCAGTTTATTGCAGGGCAACATAGAGACAAACAGGACAAACAACCATTCACGCACACAATGAGCCTAAGGAGAATTTAGAGAAGCCAGTTAACTGTAACAGTCATGTTTTTGGACTGTGAGAGGAAGCTAGAGTACCCGGAGAGAATCCACACATGCAAAGGGAGAACAAGCAAACTCAATGCAGAAAGACACCAGGCCGGGAATTGAAAGCGGAATCTTCTTGCCGCAAAGCAGCAGTGCTGCCCACTGCAGCACTGTGTAGCCAAAAGACTTAAATATTTACTTGAATTAATTACATAGAAAAGAGACACAATCCAATAGCAAAATATCGCGATAATAGAATATTGTGTTAGACCAAACAAGAGGTATTTTTCTAACGTAGACATTTTATGGCCGAAAAAAATCAAGTTCAAGATAATCTACAGGAAATGCTACTGAAGCTGTTACCCTGGGGTGCATGCAGGCATGTCAACTGAAATTGAAGTGGAAGGAATAAAGGTTTGATTAAAGTTAAGCAATCAACAGAAATACCTTCATCCTCTAGAGCTGTTTTTTTTTTACCTCTATCCTGTTAGTCCACTCTCTTCCATTGTAATAACAGCAGTGCCTTCTCCCCTCCTGCTCATGTATCCACTCGTGCATTTGCACGCTTAAGGAGGCAATCATAAAATGTGCTCTTATCCTTGCAAATAGTTCAAAATTGATTGCCTGTATCTCGATCAAGAACTCCAAGCACTTGATAAATAATAGCCATCTTGATATTTTAAGCCTGTATATTTGATATGTATTTTTGAGATGTGAAAATACACATATCAGTTGTTACAGGCTTGTTTTTGTTTTTTTTAATCTTTAGTTATTAAGACAATCATTTTACTTTTTTTATTTCATGACCCCCCTGGATTGTTGTCTTACTCTTAGTAACAGCTCAGGTTTGTGTTTTTAATCAACCTCAACAAAACAATAATTCATTTCCCAATACTAAATTACTTTTTACTCCAATTCATTCCTGAAGTTGATTTAAATCTGTAAGGAAGGACATGTTCACTAAAAGTATACCTGAATCTGTCAGTTAAGTGATATTTACAATTTTATATCCTTATCCCAAAAGCAAGCTTAAAAAATGTTAAACACTCAACAAAGGATAATATGATGCAGTTAAAGTTGCGGTCAGATTTCGTTCATGTTTATGTAAGTACAGTACGTGCAGACATTCATCTCTGGTACTTCAGGTTTTCAGGAGGAACAAAGTGCAGCTGGAGCTACCAATGCCTGGTTTAATGACCGTGGTTTCACTGTGTTGGATTGACCAGTAATTTGCCCACTTTGGAACCCTAAGGAGATGTGTTATGGATGGAAAGACAAAAAACACAGCAGAGCGGCACCCCCCCCCAGAGCTGGAGGCTGATCAGCTCCTTAGTTGGCATTAATACTATAGTTTATGTAAAACTAAAACGGATTTTAGCATCCAGTAACGGTAAGGATGGAAAAATCTATGAGGGCCTCTAATTTTTTAAGTAGAATAACCAAAATCTGTAATTTTTTTCTTCTAAGGAACGATGCCTGCAGCTGGAGAATCCTTTGTTTGTTCATAGTTTCATAAATATTTATTGTCTCTTTTGATGGAACTTAACCGATAAACATATGCTTACAATAAAATAAATCTAGTTCTATGCCCAGAAATTTGACAAAACATTAAAAAAGATTGAGTTTAATCCCCAAAAACAACAAATCTTTATTAATGTCTGAGGTTTTTCTGGTTCGTTTCTCCTGCATGCATTAAATTTGGTTTCCTCTTTTTTGTACTTGATGATCAAAATGAGACTCACCATTACAGAGCAGGACATCTGCAGTCACATGTCTTTTTCCTTTTTCTCCAATTCTTCTTCATAAGAGCTCTTTTTGGAATCATCCTCAACTTCTTTCTTCCTGGCCTTCCTCTGTAACCTAGCCTCTTTACATCTTCTCTCCTTTATATCTTCAGTCACGCTTCCAGGCTCTTCTGCTCTTCTGGCTGCAGTGTTTTCAGTAGCAACTGCTTTCATCTTCTACCCTTCCATCCCACCACTCCCTTTTGCTTTTGTCTTTGCTCTTCTGGGGGGGCAGCTCGTCAGCATGTATATTATTACCTCCAACTCCCTTCTTGTCTGCCATTTGAGGCCCATGGAGAGCAAACCCAAGCCCAGAAATCGATCCCCTGGATGCTGAGGGTGTAACAGGAGATGGCCTTTGTAGCTAATGGAGCGCTGATAGTTTTCAGGCTTTCAGCAGCACTGTAATCCTGTTTAGAATGTCCCCCCCCTCCTATATGCACAAGAAAATGGAAAATCATGCACAGTTTGATGGATGTATTTCCGCTGATATTTACAGAGCTGTGAAAGTGCAATTTTTCCACTTTTCACATTGAATAATTCTGTATCAGTCCCCCTTAGTTACACTGATCAAGGTTTGTGTTTACTGCTTTTGTAATACGGTATTTTAGTTAAAACCTCCCTGATATTTTATAAAAATGTCTTTCTACAGTGTCTGAAAGAAATCTTAAAAGTTAGAACGTGATGTCCAGTTTTAGATTTGTTCAGTTAAACTTACGGTGCACTAGGGGCATGATGTGTTTTTTTTTATTTTTATTATCTCTTGGCCCACTAGCCTCTTTTTCAAGTCTTCTTTTGATTCTACAGGAAGTTCACTGGTCCGTGTGTTGAGTGGAATTCACATGAATGAAAACATAATTCCAGTAGATAGTTGTTTTTAACGAGGAAACTGTTCATTTTTGGTTTGGATACTTTTTTCCTCCATATTAATTGAAATCACCATGAAAAACTGTTTTAGATTTACTTTGCTTTTCCTATAACTGATACAAAAATGCATTTCATAATTGAACATATATGACAAAAGCACAAATTCGAAAATAACATGCATTTTCAAGGTAATGTATTCTTTGCTTTTTTTGTTTTTCATTGAATAAATTCTTTCCTTGATTAATCTCTTGCTTACAGGAGTGGCAGAACTCCATTCAGAAGAATGCAGGGCTGGCCTTCATTGAGCTCATCAACGAGGGAAGGTAATCCATTAGGCTCAGAGGTTACACTGCCATTTACAGAGCCCTTCATTATTGTCTCTTCTGGTTGAGATGAGTAATTATCCTTAGAGAAGCACACTTAACAAAGGACGATTTCGGCTATTTTAGACAAGAGAACCAAAAAGGCCTATTCATTATTACATTCCTGGGGGAAAAAAAAACAAGCTAGATTTTTAGAAACAATTTGTTCTTTGATCAAAGACCATACAGTAGGTGAGGGTAGGAACATAGACCGCCCTGTAAATTGAGAGTTTTTACTTTTTCGGTCAGCTCTCTTACCAGTCTGCATTGAAGCAGCAGCTGCACCGATCCGTCTGTTGATCTCCCACTCCATTCTCCCCTCAGTTGTGAACAGAACCCCAATAATTCTTCATCTCCTCCACATGATGCAAGAACTCTCCTCCAACCTGAAGGGGACAGGCCACTGCTGCTGGGGGCAACAGTGGCGTTGGATGCAGGAGTTTGCATCCAATTGGAGGGCTGTCGGTTTGAGCCCTTGCTCTGGCTTTTAGTGTCGCTGTCCTTGAGCAAGACACTTCACCTGCATTGCCTAATGATGGTGGTCAGAGGGCAAAGTGGCGCCAGTTTATGGCAGCCTTACTTCTGTCAGTGAGCCCCAAGGCAGCTGTGGCTACAATGTAGCTTGCCACCATCAGTGTGTGAGTGTGTGTGTGAATGGGTGAATGACTGAATGTAGTGTGAAGCGCTTTGGTCAAGTCGTCTGACTTGGAGAGGCTGATTCTCATCCCAGGCAACTTATTTGCATAAATATTGGTCAATTGGAACAGAAGCGTTCTTGTGACATCACCACATGCCCGGCTCTTCTGGAGCTGCACCTCCTGTTATTGATAGTCTCTAGATATCAATGCATTCTTACCTTTTTGTCATTTATTGGGGAAATAATAGTTAACACAGTCAGATAAACACAAATCAAATGAACATTTTGCCAAATAAAACAAAACACTCATCATCAGATCTAGCAGTACTTCACACATGGCTATGCCGAGAGAGGGCTACTGCAAACGTGCTAGGATTACTCCTGGCTTCTGTTACCCTCGGAGGTCCGCCAATTGCCGCAGTCCTCTCAACTTTGGACATTTCTTTTTTTTTAAATTACGCACTAAATCTGTAAATGGGCCATATAGTGGCGCTTAAAAGTATAATGTTCTCGCCTCAAATGATCTTAAAACTTACTTTTATAGAACAACAGAGACAGAAAAGTGAACTTTTAACTTAATATTCTGAGCTCTGTGAGCGGTAACCGGGAAGCCACTGCTGCCGCAGTGCATGCTGGGACCAATCTCAAAAACTGGCAAGTCTGTTGTGATGTGTACTCTGTAAAGCGGCAGGGGTGAGAACAACATCCGAGGACTTTGTTTGTTCTTGGCCTGCTGTTCTTGTGAATTGTAACTGTACTGGGCTGAGGCTGATGACGTTTCAAGATTACACGAGCACATGAGAACCCACAAGTACATATTGAGAAACCGCCCTCTTAAGGTGTTCAAGTCAGCATACAGTAGCAACTGTTAGCTATTTACATGGAAACTGATGCTTTGTAATGTAACCCACTATCACAAATACAAAAATGTTGAATTTGCCAAACTTTACCAGAACTTTAAGTGGAACCGTTTGCTTTGTATTGAATTTTAGTAAAAAAACTTGTTTTTACTGTTTTAGTATGGTGGATGATCAGGCCCTACTTATTTCTGAAGGCCTTGGAAGGCTTTTTAGAGTAGGCAAGCTGGCTTCATAACATTATTGGTAAAAAATAGGTTGTATTAAGTATTTGCCAAATCAATCTGCAAATCTTGGAATAATAACTCTACTTCTACTAAAAAGTTCTTAAACTGAAGTTTCTTTATTTTTTTATTGTTAATGTAAAAAAAAGAAGCTAGAAATAGATGACTGTAAGTTCCAGATATTGAAGGCAAAACAAGAGCAGTTTCAATAAAACTGTTCAGCTACAATAAAAGATGCTTTCCTCCTACCTTTCATCTAATATCATGTTATAGTTTGATGCTTTCCCCAATTTTTACTCAAGTCTCATTTGAACTCTTTTGCCAGACTCTTGTGCCATGCCATGAAGGATCACATAGTGCGAGTGGCCAATGAAGCAGAGTTCATCCTGAACAGACAGCGGGCCGAGGACGTCCACAAACACGCTGAATTTGAGGTAAACATGGACCCTCCCTCTGGATGTAAGCTCTAAATGATCTCTATTCTGAAGCTCAGTCATGTTATACCTCGTTTTCTGGTTTATTTCTACTGAACCAAAGAAGTAGGAATTCAGTATTTTTACTATATATGCTTCTTGGATTAAAAAAATCCAGGCTAGCTAAGTATCTGTACACATTTATTTAGTAGCTTAAATTCTCTTTTTGTTTGCTTTGTCCTTGCAGTTGTATTTTTTGTGTTTGACCATTAAACTTTTACTCTATAACTGTATCAAATAAATACAAAATTGTAAGTAACATTCAAGCTTTATTATGCTGATGAAATATTTGTAAATTTGATTAATTCATTCATCCTTATTTGGCTTTCTGCTCTTGACTCACATTTATACCCATTTATTAAGAGTCTTTTTTTATAGTATATTTTGCCATTTAAACATTGTGGTTAGTTATTGCCCTTTTTGATGATGTTTTAAGCTTTATCAAAAAGACAATAAATAAGCTGTACAATACCTACAAATTTGCTCATCCAAAATTTTCTAAAATATTACTATTTTATTAATATATTGTGACCAGTCCTTGCTTAAATCTCTTCTCCTCCCTCTACCCAGTCCAACTGTGCCCAGTACGCTGCGGACCGCAGAGAGGAGGAGAAAATGTGCGACCACCTCATCAGCGCCGCCAAGCACAGAGATCATGTGACTGCCAACCAGCTGAAACAGAAGATCCTCAACATCCTGACCAATAAGCATGGAGCCTGGGGGACAATGTCACAGAGGTGAGCAGAGAAATGTCAGAGTCAAATTAAATCTCATCCGTTTGATGGCCGTGACAAAAGCAGCCTGGAGCCCAAAGCAGATGGAGAACGAAGAGAAAATCATTACGACAAAGCAAATAAGAGGAGTAAGAACATTATGTATTAAAGACTGCTACAGCATCATTAATGTTTTTCAACAAATAATAGAATAATCCACATTTCTAAAGTACAAACATTGCAAACAAATATATAGTACAGTATCTCTCCTATTTTTGTTGTCATACAATTAAATTAAGTTTAACCAGTCAGAGATTATTTTGATAGAAATGATAAATAAACCCATTTATGTTGTGTTTGCAGTATAATAGGACAGTGGTTTCTTCAAAAAGACCAAATAGACCAAAACTTCAGAAGTATCTAAACTTATCCACATTAAGGGACAAAGTCATAAAAATAAGACTAAATAAAAAATAAAAAAAAACATTTCCACATATCTCCTGTATAAGATTTAGACTCTTAACTTTTTTATTTTCTAAAATTAAATGTGCATTGTTTCTGTAGATCATTTTCTTCTAAACAAGTAATTCTGCATCCATAGTGTCTTGATTTGGGCTAATTGACTTTGAAAACAAAACATACTTTTATTTCATTTATAATAACACTCAGTAGCTAAATACTGTATTCAAGAGGAAAAAGCTCTCATTTCTTACCGTTTGGGTTTTAATCAGCATATTATACATAAAACCAGGAACTTAGAATCCTTAAACCAGAGTGACGTAATCTTCAAGCCGACAGCATTTTACTTTTCTCCTTTGCTAATACTAATATCTTTATTTTTCGTGTTGTTACAACAATAACAGTAACCAGATACTGTTAGGTGTGATATTTTATGCATATAAATAACTTGAAACATCTTGTCTCATGAACTCATGAACTATATATAAATATAATATTTATTTTCTAGGTGTCCCTCTGTTAAGATTTGTGGCACAAAATTTTATGAGTACTGTTAATTAGCTAACAAATGATATTGCATGTGAATAGTAATATCTTAAGCTTCCTGTTATCTCTGTCTGTCTTAAACCAGTATGCTTTTCTCTTTTCAAATCCAACTTTATTTATAAGGGACTTTTCATGCCATGGTTAACACTAACTGCTTTACATACATAGGAATATAAACAAATGCATATCAACATAAAAACAAGCCTTCACCCACACTTAAGGAAAAGGTTTTTCAGGGTCTGTCTACCTTTAAACCTCAACTACAGACTCTTCCTTTGGCATCTTTTTAACGGCATCAGTCCCGAAAATGCTCAAACAGGAATTAGCTGCATTTTATTTCAGACTATTCGATGAGATACACCAAATAAAACTGTTTTATCTTTTAAAAGCATTACATTTAG